TCGAGTAGAAAAAGAAGACACCTAACCAACCAGTTCTCAAATTTTGGTCCTTAGATTTTTGGACTTCATCTCCTAGACACCCTGAGACCATAGGCTATGTTGGGTGGGGTTTCTGGGAGATGGAGTTCAAAATATCCGAGAACTCCTGCCTTGGGCCATGTTACCACCACTATGAGGTAACTTTAGTACAATGAATTTCCTTGAGGGAGGAGAACCCAGTGAGTATGCTCAATGGTGTTTTGCTCACAGGACCAGAAGATGCTTTGAGATGGAGTGGATGCCAAAATATTTTGAGGACTTTCCTTTAGCGCTTATTGAGTCTATTATGGGACAAATAGTGTGCATTCAACAAGATCTGTCTGGCATTTTTGGTCTGTGCTTGCATTTTAAAGGAGGGGAAAGTGTGGACCTTTTCCATCAGCTAAGTCAATCAAGCCAGGTGGACTGCAACTCCCAGAAACACCAGCCAGCCTAACTTCTAGAAATTGCAGTCCAAGAACACCTGGGTTACCCATGGCTGGGAACCACTGAGCTATACTCTTGACCAGGGCTGACTGAGGCTGGTTGGAGCCAAAGGCCAACAACATCTGGAAGGTTACACACTCCCAGCTTTGCTTTGATTCCTGCTCTGCTCTGTACTCTCTGTGCTGGAAGATTAAAAGAGGAGGGCAAGAAGCCAGATAAAGCCTTCATTATCTCTCTCTCTCTCTCTCTCTCTCAAAAAGAGTGTCAACAGGCAATCCTTGACTTCCTCCAGGTAACAACCATGTTGAGGACCACCTAGTGGCCAAACTCTATAATTGCAGTGTCCACGCACCGTTTCCTGCTGTCAACCATGAGCCTCTCATCACAAGTACTGCTCCAGGAATAGTAGCCGGTGAGGAATTTCCAGGCTTCTGGTCTAATTGAGGGATCCAAACCCTAAAACATCAAAATACAGAACAGGATGAAGCTAAAAAAGAACTCTACTGTCAGCTAGTACAATCATTCTATCCCCTGTCACCATCTTCATCCTATTTTATGCCTCACTATTTATTTATTTACAGGAGGCAATGGAAGACTTTAGGGCCTGGCATGCTCTGGTCCATGGGGTCCTGAAGAGTCGGACATGACTTAACAACTAAACAACAACAATTTATTTGCTTATTTATTTGTTTGAAACAAGACTTTGAGATAATAAAGTTAGATCTAATTTGCTCCGAAACATAAATCACTCAACTTAAAAACCACAATGTCTTGCATTTCTCTCTCCATATTTTCTGCTGGAAAGGTGCAAACCCACTCATCCCAATCACATCAACTGTCCCCAGTTGCTTTCCCCCAAACAAAACAGGTCATATCAGCACATAGGTTATGCAGCAGTTGCACAATCAGCCCAAGGTGTGCTTGCCCATTGCTCCTTCTCTCCATACTTTCCATTCTGACTTATGACAACCCTTTTCAAGGTTTCCAGTTTAGAGACTAATCAAAAGTGGTTTGCCATTCCCTTCCTCTGTGGGCGCCCTGGGACTCTGCAGCTCGACCAAGGTCACAGAGACTGACGCCTCTGTGGGGAATCAAACTCTCAACTTCTGCCTCTACAGCTACACACCTAAACAACTGAGGTATCCAGCCAGTGATCCAGGCTTAACCAACAGGGGAGTGAAGCCTCAAGTACCAAAATGGCACTCTTTCTGGCTCTGCTCTCTCCATTTCTTCCCCCTTCTCAATTTCTGGCTTCCGGTATATCTCTACTCTGCTTGACCATATAGCTAATTGTGGGACCAGTGAGGATCACCCCTGGCCATCGGGGTTGGGGGGGAGCTCTCCATCTCTCAAAGAGGGACAGCTAGACTCCCTACCCACCGCTCACCTGTGGACTGGGGCTTTGGTGAGGGAGATGAAGATGGCACCCTCAAGGCCACAGGGGTGGCTATGGCAGGATTTAAGGAGGAGGGAAGATTTAAGGAGGAGGGAGAGATAGGAGGATGTTGGACAGACATAGTGAACTGGAAAGTGTGTGAGACCCAGGAAGTGCTGCCGCTGGTGCAGCAGTTGATGGCTGGATGGGAGATGGTTTGCCAGCATGACCTGGAGACTGGCTACTGGGTTGAGTTTCTCGTGCCACCGGAGGATGTTGCCTGGATTTGTCAAGACCAGACAAGGTGCTGCGAGGCTTGGTGGCTTGAGAATGCATTTTCAACTCGCTGTCAAGGCAAGCACCAAGAGCAAGTTGCCTCGCAGGAGAAGCACTACAGTCAGCCTCTCTCCTGGTCCTGCAAAGGCCAGCATTCTGCTCCTCCCTGCCCTATGCCCCACTCCACAGGAGATGCCAGCCAGGTCCAGGTAGAGTTCAGCCTCACCTCTCTGGATGTTTGTTACACCTATGGGCGGATGGCTACCAGGAGGGAACCACAGGGGTGTGGCTGAAGAAGAAGCCTTTGCCACCTGTCTCCAGGTAACTGCATGCAACCAGCACACTTGATTTGGCACCCTGTGCGCAGACCACCTGTGAGGGGCCCTAGACCTGGCAGAGGAGGTGGGCCTTCGTTTCTCCTAGCAAGAGACTATACCAGGGCACTGAAGGATTCAAGTCAACTCCATGGCTTGCTCTGAGTTGCCAGTTTTGCACCCCGTTGGCCCTTTAAAAGTTCCGTTGCTCAGTAGATCAGCTTGTTCCAGCAACTATGCCCCGCGTCGTCATGGAAGGGGCCACGGGAGTTGCTCACACTAAGACTCAGATAAAGGAAAATCCTCAATCAATAGGTTGTGCGTGAAGCCGGCAGAGTCTAACCAGTCGTACACTTTCACCCCCTCCCACACTACAATTAAAAGCACTAGAGGATAATTAAACTTGAGTAAGCCATCACGGGCAATCAAACTGTTTTTCAAGGAAGAACAGCAACAAGTTCAGAGGTTGAGAAATAGTGCTCTCAAAGTCCCAGGAACAGATGCTGTGCGGCTTCGGTAAGAGATGCAGATGTGGAAGAATTCAACCTTTTTTTTTCCTCATGAAAAAAATTACACGGGGGATAAATCGAATCTGTCGAGGTCATGATGCTGGCTAAATTTATTCAGGCAAAGACCAACATTTATAACAATTTGTGTGGCACTGATTGTTTAAGGTGTGTGTGTGTGTGTGAAGAATATGTACACAGCTCTTTCTGGAAATGCCAGAATTCCCCGGGTTTCCTGGGGACTGTGTGTGTGTGTGTGTGTTTGTACATGTTCATAGCTCTTTCCGGAAATGCTAGAATTCCCCAGGTTTCCTGGGGATTTTGTGTGAGCCGATTCCCCTACCACACAACTGTGAGAGTGGAGAATCACCTCACCTCTAGGGAAAAAATGTACCAAGAGTGGACAAAATCGCTTCCCTACAGAATGAAAGTAATTTGCAGTTAGAACAATAATACTAAAAATCGGCAGCATCAGTAACCGTATCCATGTCTCTGTTATTACTGGATTAATGGCAAAATTGCTTGTTCGCACTTTCTTTCTTCAAATGTCCACCCAAGATGGACTACAAATGCCATCAACCTGACCCCATTCCCCCAGTCTTGCTAGTCAGGCATGATAGGCACTGCAACCCAAATCTTCTGGAGGGTACCAGGATGAGGAAAGCTGGGTTAGGCACTGGCTTCGGAGCAATTCCTGCTGAATTGAGCAGGATTGTACTGCATAAATACAGAAAAGATCAGGAAGTTTGGGCTGCATTACTCTAAGTGGAATCTGAGGTACAGTTCATTTTGTGGACAAAGCGTTAGATGCCACACTCAATGCCATGATGAGAAAGCTGATTTCTCTCTTCCTCAGTCTTGGAAAACCAAGGGTGGCTTGGCTTGCAAAAGTTCGAACAGAGTCCTGGTTGTAAGTCCCACATAAAATGCCTAAATGAGTGCAGCAGACACTTTGCTGTTCACATTTCCTGGGGAGAGGACAAGCCTGCATACTGTGTGGGCTGGGTATGGCAGGATTAGGCCCATGGACTGGAAATTCTTCTGCCTTGATTGACAGACCTTCATTTCTCACTCCGTTCGATGATGGTGGCAATGATGGCCGTGTGTTTTGGTTTCATTAAAATATGGCTCAGGATGCCTCGCTTAACGATTACCTCGTTAAATGATGAATCCGCTATACGATGGTTTTTTGCAATTGCTATTGCGATTGCAAAACAATGTTGCTATGGGGAGCGTTTGCTTCACGATGATCGGTTCCCTGCTTCGGGAACCAAATCTTCACATTATGACAATCTAAAAACAGCTGATTGTCGGGTTTCAAAATGGCCGCCCGCTGTGCAAAATGGCTCCCCACTGTGTTAAGGACGGATTCCTCGCTATACAGGCACCAGAAAATGGCAGCCCTATGGAAGATCTTCACTGCATGATGAGGTATTTCGCCCATTGGAATGCATTGTGCGGTTTTCACTGCATTTCAATAGGTTTTTTAATTTCGCTTGACGACGATTTCGCTTAACAGAAATTTTAACGGAATGCATTATCGTCGTCAAGTGAGGCACCATTGTAGTACTGTTGAGGGGGGCAACCTTCTTCCATCCCCTCTTTGAAGTGAGGCACCATTGTAGTACTGTTGAGGATGGCAACCTTCTAGCAATTAAAGTGGGTTTCCACACCTGGAAGCCTTCAGTAGTTGTGATTTACCTTCAAACAGGTATGAGATTTTTTGACTTCATGAACTACAAATCCCATAATTCTATTCTGGGAGTTCTGACAGACAGACGGACAGATAGATATGTTACAGATTAACTATGGCTCACCTCGGAGAAAGGCCTGAATTTGAGGCTTAGCAGATTCTGGGAGTTCTGACAGACAGACAGACAGACAGATACGTTACAGATTAGCCTGAATTTGAGGCTTAGCAGGGCCTAGCTCCACCCAAGCTTCCTGTTCCTGCCCCAGTGCTAGCTGTGAGCTTTCTTTCTGAACAGGAAGTTAGTCAGAGCTAGGCCTAGCTAAGACACAAAGCCTTCCCAGCTGAGGCTTTTCTTTCCAGGCAAGCCACTTTTAGGTGTCTGTTCGGTGTCTATCAGATAGAACTCCCAGAATGGAGAAATATGAGATTTGTAGTTTAAGAAATCCAAAACTCTCATCTCGTCTTACACCTCCCTCCATTTAACATCACATCCATTTTTCAAATCTGGAAACAGACTGCCTTCACTGCATCCCGGGGATGAAAACCTGGCTCCTAAGGCCTGCTGAGGTGGCCACTCAAAGAGAGATTATTATAAAAAAACCCCAAACAGATAGAACTCCCAGAATGGAGAAATATGAGATTTGTAGTTTAAGAAATCCAAAACTCTCATCTCGTCTTACACCTCCCTCCATTTAACGTCACATCCATTTTTCAAATCTGGAAACAGACTGCCTTCACTGCATCCCGGGGATGAAAACCTGGCTCCTAAGGCCTGCTGAGGTGGCCACTCAAAGAGAGATTATTCTAAAACCCCCCCCCAAAACCCACCACCCTTTACACATTGATCTATTATTAGCACATTGTTTATTTACAATTATCTGCCCCAATGTTCTGTGTGAGCCGTTCTCTTTGTGAGCCTCAAATGCCAATGGAAAACAACTCCTCTTTGACCTTAAAAGTTTTTTTGCTGGCCAAGACAGGATGAAAAGATGCATCTGGGGAGACATCGCTTTCTGAAGTTGCCCAGGCTTCAGATCACCATGGAAACCTCACCTTGGTGCAGCAGATGTGCTAAATGAGCTCAGGGAAGCAGAGTCACACATGTTTCAGTGTATTCAATGTTCATAAGACAGCTTAGTCCCCACTCAGCCATTCTGGAGTGTCAGAATGAGGCCAGGTTGCCCTCTCACTGGGAAAATCAGTAAAGGATTATTTTTAAGGGCTGTGTGCTGGATTTGGACAAATCACAAATCCTGAACCAAACCGGCCTGATTTCCACGGATTCGTATGAAGTCAGAATGAAAGTGGACTGGTTGCACTGGGTTCTGAAGAGAAGCAAAGTGGATACACAAACTGATTTTTATTCCAGACCCAAACTGAGTTGGATGAGTGCAGATCAGCTCAAAATTTCAAGGTGACTAGAATGCAGATCCTTGAGGCCCCCTCCAGATGATGATAGATGCCATGGGACACAGAGGCCGAGGTGCCCACATTCCCGAGAAAGGTGACACCTAAAGCAGTGGTTCTCAACTTTGTTCTCGGACAAAAACTCCCAGAAGCCTTCACCACTAGCTGTGCTGGCCAGGATTTCTGGGAGTTGTAGTCCAAGAACATCTGGAGACCCAAGGTTATGAACCACTGATCTAAAGACACAAGGCAGATTTGCCATGCCTTAAAGCAGTGGTCCCCAACCTTGGGCCTCCAGATGTTCTTAGACTACAACTCCCAGAAGCCTTCACCACCACCTCTGCTGGCCAGGATTTCTGGGAGTTGAAGTCTAAGAACATCTGGAGGCCCAAGGTTGTGGACCACTGCCTTAAAGACATGTGTAGGTGCAGGAGTGAGGGACTTTTTCCCACAGAGAGCTCCTTCTAGAAATCTTCCGTGAGCTTAAGCTGGACTTTGAGTTGCGATGTTGTCAGCTCCTGCACAGAGATAAGCATGAACGAGCTTCTGGTACAAGGTGTCGATGACTAGTACAGTACTGGCTATTTTGCAATGTGTTTGCTGAACCTCTCCTGTCATTTGAGGCAGGAAGTGAAGCGCCGTCACGTCATGTGATCTCAAAGAGCAAGCTGAGATTTGCCAGATTGATTCCCTTCCTCAAAGTTTATTACATCTTCTGGTCTTCGGAGGGAGACCAGGAAAAAAATGGCTATAACATTTCTGGTCTTCTGGAGAAGACCAGAAACGTTATAGCCACTTTGGTTTTTCCGGGTGGCAGCTTTACCAAACCATTTTAGCCGCCTAGAGTGGTCACAATGACCAGATAGGCAGGGTATAAATAGAATAAATTAAAAAATAAATAAAAATAAATTTCCGAGCTGGGGTACAACTGGATGCGGAGCCAACCAGGATACATTGGGGAGCTGGCACCGTTTGGACTGAGGGCCTCCTGGACAGCCAAATTATTTGGAGTGAGGAAGTTTGTCCGCAGGCATTCTCTCAGACAAACGTTTCATTCTCTTATCTTCATGGCATGTCTTAGATTTGTCTTCTAGTTTTTATTTTGCCATTTAAAAAACCAAAAAGACCTTCAGCAGGGATGTACCACAGTGAGATGGAAAGGGGGTAGGGGCGAGTTCTGGTCAAAACACCATGGAAATACATATAAATAGACATGTTTGTAGGTTTTTTTATTTCGTATTTTCAGCCAGGCAGATAAGTGAATCAGTGGATACCGATCCTGTGGATAAAGGTGTTCTACCGTATAATTCTCCATGAAGCCCATATCTGTTTGCCACACAGCTTCAAATTACATGTAGCTGGTGGCAAGGGTTAAATATTCATTTAATTATTCATTTATTAGACAATTCCCTTCAGGGAGGAAACAGTCATTAAAATGGGTGAAGTAGGAGTGTAGCCCTCCAGATGTTGGTGAGTTATCTCTCTTTCAATTGGTCATATTGCCCATGGAGGTCAATATGAAGACTGCAGTAAAGTTAAATATTGTTGCCCAAATCCTGTTACGTAGCTACTCAAGCGGCGTATCTTGGAAGCAAGTGGAGATAGCACCATAGACATTATGAGTTGCAGACTGTCTTACCACTCAGTATACAACTGATATTCTCTACAATGATTTCTTAACTTGAGGCAGTTCACCTTCAAAATTTCATGCTATACCAGGGTAACTAGGTAAGAGGATTTCTGCCAGTGAAGCACAATGATTGTAATGAAGATGGGCACCTTATTGGTTTAATCACTCCACCCTCTCTTACAAAGTTTTGAATTTGTGGTCAAATTCCTTTTTGCTAGACAGTAGAGGTATAGAAATCCACAGAGCAGAATAGCTACACGTTCTCCACAGCCTATCCTTTTCTCATTAACTGGAACTTGAAGACTCAGTGATTCACTCTGAGACATTTGTAGGAGAAAGAATTAAAAAGTTTCATTACTTACAATTGTGAAGAGATCAACAGCAAATGAACAAACCAAACAAACTAAAGAGAAGGAAAAACTACTCAACGGAGAGGAGGGGGCTCTCTTTGAATTCAGAAATGGGAAGGAATGATTGGTTAGTGCTGGATAGATTGACAGCCCAGAAAGGTCCCTCCCAGCCAAACAAACTACAGGCAGCATGCGAGGCTGTAATAACTCCCACACCTGCATCCTTCACACATCCAAGCCCTGCTCCTTATTTCCAAAACTTGGGGAAATTATTATTGTTTGGACTACATCTCTAACCATTGCCAGCCAAAATGGCCAGGGGCATTTCTGATAGCTGTGGTCTGAAAATACTCAACTTGTCCGAGTTCTGTTTGTTCCCACCAGTCACTCACCCTGTCCAATATTTGGGCAGCAACATAGTCTCGGGATTTGCAGAGCTGTCCGCTTTCATCAAAATAGCTTTCCCATTCATAGCTGTCAATCGGCAACTTCTTGATCCCCTGGAAGGAAAGACAACGTGTTGTGTTGAGCTAGAACCCAAGGTAAGGACAGAAGGGGTGAATCAGCGAGCCTGCTTCAGCTGGGTGCGGTAGCTGGATTTCGACTGGCATATTTATAGATCTATTCCAATTTCAAATTGTTTGAGGATTTTAAATTGTTTCTTTAGAAAGCTGACCTTGAAATACAACAATGTCCGGTTACCAATGCTTCCTCATGATTTTGTGGAGTTTGTTGTTCAACTGGTGGTAAAAGTACCACAGTGAACACTTACCTGACTATCTCTAACCAATCCATTTGGCTAAGAATTTCATTATTCTCTTTTGTGTGTGTGTGAGAGAGAAATTAGCAAAATTCATAGATTTGGTCACAGATTTCAAAGAAGCGAGATTTTTTTTTGTTTAAATGAAGGTGAGGCAAACCGAAACTGATATGCATTCATTGTGTGAGTCTGACCACTGGAGCAGAACTAAAACCTCATCCAGCTGAAGGCCTTGCTTTAAGACGAAAATGGAACTTTTAAAATTTATTTATACTTATGTAATGAATTTATACCCCATCTTTCCCCGTTGTAGAATCCAAGGTAGCTTACAACATAAATTAAAAAAAATACAATACAATACAATACAAAAACCAGATATGGCTTTAAAAACACACAGTAAATTGCAATCTTGAAGCACTCTTAAATAGATTATCACATTAAAATGAGCACTGAATTAATACAGTTTACAAGCCATTTAAAAACAACAGCAGTTAAAAGGCCCTTCCTCATCAGTCAGTTGGTGGTGAAAAGCCTGTGTAAATAAAAGTGTTTTAAACATGCCTCTTGTGTTTTAGGTTCCATAAAATAATATGTAAGACTGAGAGTCAAGCTTCATATTGATGGACGACATGTGTGTTCTCTAGGTTTTCTCTCCCACAGTGAGTTTTCCTCAGAGGTACGTGGCTCAGCAATTAAGTACTTTCCTCACAGGGTACAAGACATTAAGGCAAGGCCTGACTCCTCCAGAGAGAGTCTGTCCCCTTGCAAATTAAACCCATGTTTACCTTCCAGTAACAAATCACAAAAAAGGAGCAGCTAAATGCAAGATAGGCAGGCAAAGAAAACAATGTGCTATGAGAAACATTTTCCACCACTTGGGGGAGCACCTCTTCAAGAAAAGAGGATAAATGTACAGTTTCTACTAAGCATGTGTACTTTTGTTGTTGTTTAGTCGTTAAGTTGTGTCCAACTCTTCGTGATCCCATGGACCAGAGCATGCCAGGCCCTCCTGTCTTCCACTGCCTCCTGGAGTTTGGTCAAAGTCATGTGGGTCAATTCGGTGACCCTGTCCAGCCATCTCGTCCTCTGACATCCCCTTCCCCTCTTGCCTTCACAATTTCCCAACATCAAGGTCTTTTCCAGGGAGTCTTCTTTTCTCATGAGATGGCCAAAGTATTGGAGCCTCAGCTTCAGGATCTGTCCGTCCAGTGAGCACTCAGGGTTGATTTCCTTCAAAATGGATAGGTTTGTTCTCTTTGCAGTCCAGGGGACTCTCAAGAGCCTCCTCCAGCACCACAATTCAAAAGCATCAGTTCTTCGGCGGTCAGCCTTCTTTATGGTCCAACTCTCACTTCCATACATCACTACTGGAAAAACCACAGCTTTGACTATGTGGACCTTTGTCAGCAAGCTGATGCCTCTGCTTTTTAAGAAGCTGTCTAGGTTTGTCATCATTTTCTCCCAAGAAGCAGGTGTCTTTTAATTTCGTGGCTGCTGTCACCATCTGCAGTGATCATGGAGTCCAAGAAAGTAAAATCTGTCAGTGCCTCCATATCTTCCCCTTCTACTTGCCAGGAGGTGATGGGTCCAGTGATGGGGCAATGACAAAGCGGAATAAAGAGCCACTTGGTCATCCATACGGTAAAGTAACATCCCCATGGATCCCACCGGCATTCATTCGTTGCTTTCCAGAGAAAAGAAAGAAAACTCAAGAAGATGGAGGAGAGTATCATGTTTATCTTCAAAAGGACCATGCCTTTTTAAAAAATAGACATTCAGGGAAGAGGAAGGATGAGATCCTCATTTCAGGAGGACCCCTTCAGCTGGGCATGATGTGAGGCTGCCATTGCTGCCACCTGCGTCTGCCATCTCAGGTGAGTGCTTTTCTTTGTCTAATGCTAGGGCCAGCCTTCAATGATATATAGCCATATTGTTAAATTCTTCATCCTGGCTATCTGGCTCAGGGGTTTAGTTCAGCCAGAAGTTGGGAGTTTGATTCCTTGCTGTGCCTCCCAGGAGAAGAGCCAGCCTGGGTGGCCTTGGGCAAGCTGTACAGTTCCAGGGCTCCCTCTAGGGGAAGGGAACGGTGAAACACTTTTGAGTATTCTCTGCCTGGAAAACTCTGAAAAGCGTCACCATAAGTGAGACTTGATATAGCAGCACATTATTATTCTAAAACACCAATCAAAATTATATTAAAAAAACACTGACTGGTATTACATAACAGATATACTGTATTTGCTGGCGTATAAGACTACTTTTTTGCCCTGAAAAACATGCCTCCAAGTGGGGGGTGTTGTCTTATACGCCGGGTTCAGTTGGGATAGACATAGCTGCCCATAGTGGCCTTCTGATGCTCGCCCGGTGCCCATAGTAGCTACCCGATGCCTGCCCACCTCATTCTATAGACCATCCAGTATCGTGCGGTATCCAGCGTGGCCGTGGCGAGCATCAGCAGCGAGACAGGGGTGCCAGCCTTTTCGACGTGACCAGCCCGTTCTGCTCAGCAGGAAGCAGTGGCGCTCTGGCCTACCTCTTGTCTACGCAGAGCTCACACATGCACACTTGCGCACTAGTATCGGTCACAGGGAGATACAGGGGCGGGCCGGAGGCGCTGCAGTCGTACTGCGGCCGTACAATGGTGACAATGAATAGCACCTTTTATTTGGTGCGTGGAAGGTGTGCGGAAGAAGGGGTAGTCTTATACGGCGAGTATATAACAAACTCTATATTTTGAGTGGAAATGTTGGGGGGTCGTCTTATACGCCCAGTCGTCTTATATGCCGGCAAATACTGTAGGTTTTGACCAAAAACCTATGTATCCGTCATATATCAACATAGCATGTATGCTATTCCTAATATCACTTTTTATTGTACCTCTGTTGATGTTGTTTCTGGAACCTGCTACTGCTTACAATACTGTGTGAAATTTCTTGATATCGTTCCCAAAACCCTAGTGACTATGGGGACCACTGAGGTATGTTTCATCCACAAATGAGATGCTTCAATTGCCAGATTTATGTATTTTGTTAATTTTTCCAATTATTTAACCTCAACTCTGGCATTCCCTGATATTGTAAATTTAATTATCCAAACACTTCTTCATTTTATTACTGCTATGTGTAGTGTGTTATGTTCAAGGTGTCTTTCCAGAAATTCCACAAGATCTTGACTTCATTATTTTCTTTTTTAAAAAGTTTTTTTTAATTAAACACAGACAGACAGAACAAACACAAAAACATATATACGGGGAGAATATATCCATCTAACATATAAATCTGACTACATAAACCATATTGCCCTACTAAGCATCTTTAGGCCATATCCATTTAATATATAATTCTGACTACATAAACCCTAAAGATTAACATATTTAAATTGTCTAATATATAATCTTAAGCCTGTATTGATCTTATATTCAAGGCATTCTTAGTTGCATAGATTAACTATAGTTCACAAGTTACTTAGTATCTTCATATTTCTAACTCATCCTCAATACCTTCTAAACAGTTGTGATCAGCATATGTAATCTAATTTGAGCATTACCTATATTTATCTATCATAGTAGACTTGTGGTAGTCTACATTATTTTAGACTTCAATATTTTCTGACACTTTCTCTACCTGATGTTCCCATGGGTTTTTGGAGGGTGGCAAGTTATACTTTACCACTCTGTCATGTCTAATTTTGTTATCTCTTTGTGTAATCTTTGGACATTCACAGATGAGGTGTGACACAGTGTCACATTTTCCTGGCAGAATAGACATTTGCTGTTAGTGCTAAATCTTAGCTTTCATCACCTTTAAACTCTGAAAAGCGTCACCATAAGTGAGAATTGATATAGCAGCACATTATTCTAAAACACCAATCAAAATAGACATGTTGAATCATTATCGTCTTCTGCAGCAAAAATCAAGCCTTCGGTTAGGGTTAGGCTCCAAGTTTTAGCCATGCCCATGTTGAATCATTATCATGATTTTCATCAGTATTCCACTGATGATGTCTATGCAGTGGTTTATTTTCCCAACTGTTTAATTTTCAAATTGTTGTTTCTTATATTGAGCCTCTGTTTCTGTTGTTTTCAAAATATTCTGTTTTCACCACTGTAAATAATTTTTCTCTACTTGTAATGATGTAATTACCACTGTAAATAATTTTTCTCTACTTGTACTGACGTAATTATTTAGCTTTCTTTTTTCCTCCTCTACTACTTGCTGTATTTGCAGCAATCCACGGCCTCCGATTTTTCATGGTAAATATAATCTGTCAACATCACTTTTTCGATGCATGTTCATTAATTTCTATGTTTTCAGTCCAATTCTTCTGATTCATTTTGGGTCCAGTTCCCACTGGGTATATAATTACTGGGACTGCCCATGTGTTTATGACTTTAATTGTATTTCCACTACTTAATTTTGATTTTAAGATTATCTGCAGTCTTTTGTTGTATTCCCTTTCTGTCAGATACTTAACTTTTGCATGCAGGATATTATCTGCTTCTAGTATTCCAAGGTGTTTATAATTTTCATCACTGGAAGTTATTTTCAGCTATCATGATTTCCAAGGTGTTTATAATTTTCATCACTTGGAAGTTATTTTCAGCTATCACAATTTTTTTAAAACTTTATTCCATCTAGTTTTTGGATCTTGCCACATTGTATAGACAGAGCTACACATTTGTCAATTCCAAATTTAATTTGAATGTCTTCACTAAATATTCGTATTGTGTTTAACAGTGCTTCTATCTCAGAGATTCTGTTCTTCTTCTTATTGTTGTTGAAATACTTCTTTCTGAATAGCTCTGACTGTTTTCATTCCATGACTGGAATCAGCTCAAGAAAAGTCTGCCATGGAACCACATGATGGCCATCAAAATGTGTAGCTTTCCCCGGCTTGCTTTGTCTCCATTTGTTTTCTAAAACGGCAAGTTTTCCAATTGGGAAACTTGCGCGGTGAGATATTTGTGCTTTAGATTTAGTTACAAGGGCCTGGCAAGATTGAATGCATAATTAGTCACAAACAACCTGATGAGAGGGACTTGGGGAAATAAAATCAATGCGATCAGGTAGAAGGGCCATTTAAGCAAATCTCATTAGAATCACAGAAGGTCTGCGGCTCATGGAATCGAAAAAGAAATAATGGGATTCCATGTCAAAGCACAGGAGTTTCTTTGGGTCAGAAAAATAAAAATGAAAATGGAAAACAATGTAGAAATGGAGAAGTGGTCTTAGAGAACCTAGAAGCGAGAAAGTTGACAATCACCTGCTGTTATACCCCCTACCTGTCTAGAAAAGCGATGCCCAGAAAATTCTACCAGGTGAGTGCAAGAATGGAAAAAACAGGCAGGGGTGCTCTACACCACAGAGATGCTGCCCAGTTCTCCATAACAGAGGTAGTGGCGGTCAGGATTCAGACATAACACATACCATTTTGTCTTTGACTAGGATGGTAAGATCCAAGGGCAGGGGTGAAGCAAAACAGGGGCTCTACAAGGGAGACGCCAATGCTATGCAAATACAGCATTTTGGTCTTTCATAGCAAACACATTGAAACCTACATCTACATATTGTGCTACCTAATTATATATACTAACATTTAAGGAAACCCTCCCACCTTCGCTGAATGCAAGGATTGTAACAAGGAACACAACCCCAGGTTCCCTGACACGTGACTGTCTGGCTTTTTTGATATATCTTGAGTGAAGGAAAACCCACCACTTCTTGAGACTGTTTCAAATCCTTGTTTTCGTTAGCAAGTTTCCCCACGGGCACAGATGAAATCTGCATTTCTACTATTTCCTTCCCTAGACCCTAGACCTACTCTCTGGAGCAAGAAAGAAGACTGCCCCATCTTCTGTATGACAGCCTTCCAGATATTTGAGACAGCGATAGGTAAAAGTAAAGGTTCCCCTTGACATTTCGTCCAGTCGTGTCCGACTCTAGGCCACGGTGCTCATCCCCATCTCCAAGCCGTACAGCCAGCGTTTGTTCGCAGACAGTTTCTGTGGTCATGTGGCCAGTACGACTTAGACACGGAACACTGTTACCTTCCCACCGAGGTGGTACCTATTTATCTACTCACATTTACATGCTTTTGAACTGCTAGGTTGGTGAGGAGCTGGGACGAGTGACGGAAGCTCACTCCGTCACGTGGATTCAATCTTATGACTGCTGGTCTTCTGACCTTGCAGCACAGAGGCTTCTGTGGGTTAACCCACAGCACCACCACGTCCCCATGAGATAGCGATACCTCCACGCTGTTCATCTTCTCTTCCCGATCCTAAATATGCCCGTCTCTTTCAACTGTTCGTCGTGACGCTAACAATAGATGGGTTACTTACCAGTATAGTTGAGATTGAAGCTTTGAGTTCCGTAAGATTCTCTTCTGAAGAGATGGGGCTTTGAAATCTCTCTCCGATTGTCCCCTTCCTCATTGTTAAAAAAATAATAATCGTAATACTACTTTTGATAACGATCAAACCTGAACAAGGTCTGAATTCCTTTTATGTCTTTAGGGAAGTCAAAGTCTCACTTGAACTGGGCTCTTTTGCTCTCCATCAAATGAATGAGCCCAACTGAGTTGAAGCAGATTGCTTTTTTCCTTCTTCTCCTTAGAATCAAAACGGGTTGTCATAGTTCCATGAGGTCACAGAGGTGTGAGGTCATAAGAAGAAGAAAAGATGTGTAGAAGAAAGGATGTTCTTTCAGGGAGAAAGGACATTTAGAGGACAGGAGCCAGCGATTTGTTTCTCTAGAGAAAGGGGATAACCCTGATGGCTAAAGGTTAACTCTCTTAAAAGCCCCCCCCCGGCTGCCTTTTCACCCTACGGTGAATTGCTGCAGTCTTCATGAATGGGCCACTTGCCATCCCTCTTTCCTCCAGAGTGCTCAGCCGTGGCCCCTCCCAGGACATGCCATTCTGTTGCCCTACCTATTGGGTTTCCATCCATCACAATCCATCCCTCTTTCCTCCAGAGTGCTCAGCCATGGCTACTCCCAGGACACGCCATTCTGTTGCCCTACCCATTGGGTTTCCATCCATCACAACAAAAAGAAAAGCTGTGGGTCAGGTGCACCGCAAAATTATTTCCTAAAGATTTTACCTACTTTTATAGATCTTCGTGTTCATCCAAAAC